CCCCCCCAGGGGTCGCCCCACCCCACGCGGCTTTGCTTTCATGCATCGCAGCAGACGTCACGGCGGCGGTGCCGAACGGCGCGGCTCTGCCGACACGTCCCGCCTGCCTTCCCGTAACGGCGCGGATCCCCGCAGCCCCCTCTGCTGCAGAAGACGCCGGCGCCAGCAGAAGTTTCAACTCTCTAGTCCGGTTCCTTTTTCTGCGGCTATAACTTTTGATGGGTAACCACAAAAGCCAGCGTTTCTGCGTGCTAACCCCGAACCCAGGGGGCTGGGCGGTGGCGACGGGGACCGGCGAGGCTTTGGGACCTGCTCCGCCCCACGCCAACCCTGCCGTACGCCGGGCTGCCACTCCCGAGCACGGCCTCTGCTCAAATCCTGCATGAGAATCAGCCTGTCCCGCTCGAGGGGAAACTGAGGCACGGGGGGGCTGAGCAGCCCCTCTAAGGGATGTCACACAGGAGGGGACAGCTCTCGGCCAGGTTTCTGCAGCACTACGTTATTTAACAGCGTATCAAGCAAAAGAAAAGGCGCTTTTTTTTTCCCCTTCTAAAAAAAGGAAACCCATCCTAGAAAGCCCTTAACGAAAATCATCTCGTGCCAGTGCAAAACCAGATTTTTTTCTTTAAAGCAGAAATTCAACACGCAAAGAAACCGAAATGCCACTCCAAATTACGTGAGAACTTTTGTTACAGCTTATTTTCATCCCCCTTGATTCATTCTGAAACCACTAATACTGATCTTTTTTTTTTTTTTTTTGAAATGCAGACGAAAGCAGAGGCGGCCGGGCGCGCTCAGCCAGCTCTGCCTGGAAGACACAGCTCTCTTGGGAAAGGAAACCTGCCCTGGGTTTCTCTTTCCCCACACCCAGCTCCCTCTGACCCCCTGTCCTCACCCAGCAAGAGGGGGGAAAATTGTTCTGTACCTGCCCAGAACACCACGAATTTCTTCTCTTTTGGGGGGGGGCGGGGAAGAGAAAATCGGGGTCTTTGTGTTAAAAATTGCACCAGCAATCGTGCTTAAATATAGAATTATAAAATCGTTGGGGTTGGAAAAGCCCTTTCAGCTCC